GTACAGTGTAAACTCATTTGGAGAGTTACAGCTGGGACTATGTAATCAATGTTTTAATTTTAAAATTACATTTGGCGCTTGGCCATCATTGTTTGAATTAGAGAATTAGAATCGGGCTGGGCCATCAAAGTTTCAATTGGAGAATTACAGTCGGCACAAGACACAAAGTTCGAATTGGAGAATTACAGTTGGGACTCGGCCATCAATGACACTGAGGGCGCTATACTACTCATTTTAGCATTTTCTTCTCTATTTTGATGAATATTACATTTGTTACAAATTGTAGTATGCATTTAATAAATAAACATGATGTTTTTTATTTTAATCGCACACTTACCCTTAGATCAAATGGGAGAGTAACCAAACCTCCACTATGGTCCATCAATGTTGTACAATAATCAGCGTTTTCATACAACTCAGATTTGGGAAGCAGTAACTGTGTATTAATAAGAACACCTCCATGTTTCTGGAACACCTTGCATAGAGTGTCATGCACTGTTCGTTGAGCTAGATTGGTTTGACATGAAGTAAAACCCTGAAAGCACATAAAGACAAAGTTGGGAGATCACAATCAGACACAAAAGTAGCACATAGAACCCCTTTTGATGTCTGCCTTTTCCATAATACAGATACCCCATTTATTTACAGGTATTTCAAAAGTGTATCTGCGGGTGAGTTGTGCGGGCACAGAAAAGTCACAACACTGATGTCTGTGTGTTGTTTTGTGGGTCCATTATAAAAGGCATGCAGAAACCATGCAAATTAAATCTGCATGTACTGCCAATTCTTTTGTATGTTATCATTATGAAGTAAGCCAAGGACAAAAAAATGCAATTCTGAATAGTGACACCGTTCGTATTTTGGAATGCACCGAAATAAACAAATAAATATCTTACAAAAACATTGGTGCCTTATTTGTTTAATTATTTTAAGGGACAGAATTTCCAGCTTTATTCAAAGTAATTCAGATATTTTAGTATAAAAACAAATGCCTCATCGCAAAAAAAAGTGCTGCATTTAGACATGGATAGATTCATAAAACATGCTAGATAACAGAAAATTTTAGTAATTTTAAAAGTATTTTGTACAGGTGTCTGTCAAAAATTAATGATTCACTGAGACAAATATGAACTGCCTCATTGTGTGACTACTGTATTATATGAAAAGTAAAAAAAAACACCCTTTATGAATAGCTATCATGTTGCAAGCTCTGCTTTAAATAGTTAGTTGGTGTCCAGTGGAGGGAGAAGTCAACAGTGCTGTTGCCTCATGCGAATCTACATCTTCAAACACTGCAATCTTTGAAGTGCGTTTTTAAACGAGTAGTATAAAAACTCTATCATTCTGTTCTCATAGCTGAAACATATTCCTGTGAGTTTTCATTTGTCGAATGAACTGTTTGTCAAATATAGAATACATATATTTTAGAACAATTTTCTTTTTAAAATGTGGATGAAATGTTTTGCTTTTTATGTATTTTTTATGTATTGTTTTTGATTTGATAACTTTTAACTAAACAGATTTTCTATTAGCATCAGATCTTGATCAAAGTT